CCGCAAATTGACTATTTTTAATAGAAAAATTTGCACCGCCCAGTGCTTTTAGCCAAAGATATAATGTCATTTACGCGTCTGCAGAACATAGCAATATTTTGGAAATCATATTAAACAACTTCACGATCATACACACATTTTATTATCTTTGTTATTATTTGGATGCAAAATTATTGGATTTGATGATGGAACATGGCGTATTGCAAATTTAAAGTAATTCCTTTAAATACATTCAATTCTTTTACGAAGAATTTCGCAAGATTGGGGCCAAACTTGTGACACATATTAAAAGTATGGGCTTACGGATTTTAAAAAATACAAATTGCTGCGATTTGCGAAACCTATAAATTGGAGAAACTCCTAAAAAGAAATCACAAGCTTCTGTGACGAAAGATTTTTAATATTATTTTATAAATAATGAGTTTTTCAATATAATTATAATAATAAAATAAATTTTAAATGTTATGAATAAAATATTTTGGTTAAGTATTTTATTTATCATATAAGGTGCTTTAAAAGGTGAAAACCTAGCGATACATATACATATGTATGTATATTAAAAAATATTAAATATAAACTTTTTCTTTACTTTTACATATTCCCGTACATTTTAAAACAAGGAATTCAACAATATTTACATTTAAAAAAAAATTTAGTTTGTTTTTTTTGTCAAAAAAGACTCGTCTCATTTTTTGAATTTCGCATTTGTTCAAGTTAACGAACATTTACTAACATTAATTTTTAATAAAATGCATCAAATTGCGAATAGCTTTTACTCAATTAGGAGTTTTAAAAATTATTTTGTTTTCTACTTACGGATGTCATAAAAGGATAAAAAAATAATTTAAAACAGGTGAATATGTAGTGTTAATTAAATTCATCTGGTTATTTATAATGTAATATTTTCATTGAAGCAGGCATGAAATATCAAAAACTGGATAAACTCCCCATCACATGCATCAGTAAATTCAAATTGTGTTCCTTTTGTAATTTTGCATTGCGTTATGTGTGTGTGTGTACTTCATTTTACTTTCATCTGCCCTATTGCAAATAGAAGGGCATGTAAACGAATTACAAAATGTTAAATATTAGTCTATTTATCAACAGGTGAAATTTTACATTTGTACAAGCTTCTATAATTTTTTTAGTAATATTAAGTACGTATGTATGTATTTCATTGAAAGCAATAATCAAAAAAGAAATAGAAAAAAAACACAAATTTGATAAATTCAGAAACCAACTAATACATCCGAACATTTACAATTAAAAGAAATATTGAACATTAATTTTCTTCAAAAAATTTTTTCAATTTTATTTCAATTAGTATGCCCTGCTTGAATTGAAATTATAATTAATTTTGTTCAAGCTAACACCCGAAATACGAATTAAAAGTAAAGTTCCGTACATTCGAACTGTACCTTTTTATTTCAAAAATACCCATATGTTGTTCGTTTGTACTAACATGTAAATATGATACATCTGAAGACATAAATCTACGATGTGTGCACGATATAAAAAATATATGTTTTTATGTATGCAAATATGTAGAGTTCTTACGCCTCAAGTCGCTGGAATGTTCAAAAAGAAAAACTTTGACCAATAAAAATAAGTGAAAAAGCTAATTTTATGTACTTATATACGTATTTCCACTTTGTGATATTTCATTACATTTTTACGTTTGGTAATAATAAATTTAAAATATAAATTTCCATTAGGTATTAGACCAAGAAATACCAAAAGAGAATTTATTAAAAAACTGACGTTTTTTAATTTAATGCTAATTAATTAAAAAAAAATATCATATCTCCGAACATTTTATTTTTTTAATAATAAAAGTTAATACTTAAGTTTATCCTGTGCTTTTGGCAAGAATAAACTATTATGTACGTACACAATATTTTACGAACATATGTATGTACATACTCAAATGTAAAGGAACCAAAGTGCAATATCAAATAACTACATTAATAAAAATTAATGTAGTTATTTGATAAATTTGATGTAGTTATTTGACAATTAATTGAATTAATAAATTTTAAAGAGAAATAAAATTTTGGTGAAAGAAGATCTAAATTGCGTTTGTACTCAGTAATTTCGTATTATTTATTTTTTCTCACATATTAATATTAACTTGTAATTTATTCATAAAATTCACCAAATAAAAAATGTAATAAATACTATTTAGGCACAAATGAAAGAAATTTGTAAGGTAAAACAAAAGCAAATATGCAATTGAAATAGTTGAGAATTTGTGTTAAAACTGTGAATGTATTGTTATAGTAAAATGACATTTCTGAATCATTCTTTTGAAAAAAATTATGAATTTAGCCTATTTACACTTCGAATTTTTTATGAAAGAAATTTAAGAACTGTAAGGAACGAAACGAAGGCCCTACGCGAATTACTAAGTGAGAACACTGTAGCCAATGAAGTTTTTTTTTGGTAGGCACAAAGAATATACTTTGGCTGCCTTCTTGGATGTTGAACACGCCTTTCATAAGAGTGGAGGCTATCGTAAGAGCTATATGGTATAGTCATGCTTACCATAAGGATAATATTCGCTGAGCGGGGCTCTCGCCGTATCTATTTCCCTTGCCTTGGAAGGTCGGAGTTTCCCTTGCCTAGAATGGTGGAGACGAGCTACCCTTAATGAATTTTGCGGGCTACTTGAGCGTGACTACAAGCAGTAAGCTGCTGTGGAAGGAAAATATAGATAAGAAAAAATTAATTAATATATATGTATATTAAATATTACTGGTTGTATGGGTATATAGTTAGACCTATTTTGACGTACTCCATACGTTGATATGGTACCAAGCGACGCTATGGAACTGGAGGAGGTGCAGCGAATGACATGGGGAGGATGACTGGTGGTTATCGCGACTGTGAAGAGTAACTATCATTACTTCAGTACTCGTCACTGGTTCCTCATACCTTAAATCAAGAATACTCGTTACTCAACACTCTTCTTTGTCAAAATTCGGGAATACGTTTATTAAATCATATCTGTCCGACTTCTGGTTCGCAAGATACAAAGCTTCATTACGCAGCCTAAAACAAGTGACAAGTATTCATAAATACCACGTTGTAACTGCATTCACACGTCCCTAGTGCCTTGAGGCTGCAAGCGATAGTTATACTGAGGATTAGGCATTATACATACTGGCTTTGTGGTATCATATATTGAATGGGAGGTTGATTACGGGATTGTAATTTCACAAGGGGAAGATTGGAGTACTAAAGGGCTCAGCGCACATTAGGGATTGTCTACAATCCCTAATGTGCGCTGAGACATACGGTCTATCTACAAAGGTGGTCCTGGGATTGTGGAAGATATGGGGGCGAGAGTCTCTCATCCAGGCGGAGATTTTAGCGATTCAGGGTGGCAGAATTTGCCGTATGCAGACCGGAGAGAGGGTGCGATCTGGCTTTGTGGATAGTAGGTTGGCGATCGGAACACTCGCGTCCTGCAAGAAGGCACTCAGGTACTTTGTGAAATGAGCAGGGTAACAGTGTGCTGGGCTCTTGTCACAGCGAGGAACGGGGAAATGAGATGAAAAATTGCTTTGCATGTGCTGAAGCGTGCGGTGTTACTAATCTAGTGAATGGGTCGGCGCGTCACAGCTAAGGGAGTGCCTTGACATCATAAATAGGGATCCTAGCAAAGCTAGCAGAAGCTCACATATGCAGAGTGGTCAGAACAGTGTGGCCTAGTAGAGACGAGAAGAGGACGAGGGCGTTGCTGGGATATAATAGGGCTGATCTTATCATACTGGTGGAGATGCTGATGGAACATTGCGTTTCAGCGAGCGCTACAACAGATCTATGTGGTAGATGAACATGTTCTTTGTGCCTGTCTGCCTTTGATGTGGAAGAGAAGAACTTTTTTTACAATGACCTGGAGGACCAGTAGGGGGAGTCTTTGAAATCCGTCGAGGAGGTTGACTGATTCCGGTAGATGGTTTTTGGTATTGTATGAGGTAGAGGTTGTGTGGTGTTAATTCGGGGGGTTGCCGCTGGGCCTTCTTGTTGGCCTAGTGCGGGTGGCTATTCGGCGGTCCCCTCCCTTACTACTTCTACTACTATCAAACAAAATTAATTAAAACCTAAAAATTTTTATATTAAAATAAAATTTGGAGTTTTTGAAACATGCAAATTTCAACTCGTTTTTTAAATTTTTCAAATTTATTATAAATTAAAATTTCAACTCATAATTTTAATTATGTACATATGTACATACAATATTAAATATAATTTCTAGTTTTTTCCGCATCTTTTTTTTGAACCGCATTTTCAGGGTATCTGCGAGAATTATAATAAAAGATGATATTACACTGAATAAAAAATTTTTTGTTCTAGAATAAACGAAATAAAATAAATTTAATAGAAATTTTATAAATTAGTATTAGTGTCAGTCGCTGTGTCTAGCTGTGTTTACAATACAATTTTTGTATGAATGGGTTGCTTACGTTTTGATCTCTTTTTGATAAGGAGAATGATAAACATGTCGAAATGAAAAAGTTTTTGTGAAAACGCAGCCAATGCTGGTTGAATTCACATTTGCAGTCCTTAACAACTCCTGTTTCAAATTCATTTGTACCTGAACAAAAAAAATTATGCCAATAACAATAGATGGCTAAATGTTTAGGTAAAGTAATCAATATCAAATTCTTTGCAACTTCACTTACAACTACCCGCAATTTTTTTATGTATTTATTATTTACATATTTATGTAAACAAAATATTTTATATAAAGTTCGTTGTAACGTAACAGTGACTTTTTATAACTCTAAAGGAAATCCAAAAATCAGAGAAACAAACGGGAAGAGAACATCATTCAACAATATCTTTTATCATGAGTGCTACCAATAGTTAAAATTTCAAATTCTTAATATAATTTGACAAATGAAAACAGTGTTACCTTCTTAGAAAATTTTTTAATATCGTAGAAAAATGCTTATTATTGTGAATGTAAAATTTTTATGTCATTAAATGTCAGCTTGTATTTTCTTTAAAAATTTTTTTTGTGATATATCGATTTTCTGTAAAAAAATAATATTTTATCAAAGTTATTATAAAACTAGTGTATAATTTTTAAAGAAATTTTTCTAGCATACTTCAATGTCTTTATTTCGAAAACCAAAAAAAACTATTCAACGTCGTGTTTTTGCAACGTTAGGAGATCATGAGGATTCTGACGATGAAAGAGTAGATGCTGAAGAAGATTCAATGACACAAACAAAAGTAAATGATAGCAAAAAAGATAAAATTAAAGAAAGACTTAAAACAAAAAATAGGGATTTGGAGCCTAAAACAAAATCGTTGCTTAGTTTTGCTGATGATGGTAAGATATAATAAATATGGTCGCAGAAGCTGATTAAAATATACACATATGTATGTATGTACGTGTATTTGAACTTTTTTTTCCGAAATATGTTTTAATATAAACAATAATAATAACAATTTCCCCAAAGTAAGAAAACGAAATATGTATATAAATGTTTTCCTTCAAAATTTTAAAAACTAATATTTTAATTCTTATGTCGTTAAAACTTAAGGCAAAGCATATTTTTCGATTTACATACCTACATACATATATTGTTATAAAAAAAAATATTTTTCAGCAGAAGATGATGGAGAAGTATTTCAAGTGAAAAAATCAGCTCATAGTAAAAAAGTTATGAGAATGTTGGATAAAGAACGGCGGAAGAAAAAATGTAAATCTGACAATGTTAATATTTCCAATATTAATGGAAATAATAATTTTAATGGTATTGAAAAGAACGTTAGTGATACAACACGGACTTCATCTTTATCGGCATCTTCTAAATCTATTGAATCCAAATATAATACCAACTCCTCAGATAATGTTCAGACCGAAATTCGAACAGACGACTTTGTGGTAAGGTTATTATTATCAATTTTTATGAAATATAAAATAGAAGTTTGTACAAACATATTTTACTTATTTTATAATAATATACAAAAAAAATTTTTAGTACCTAGATATACATACTTATTGTTTGTACAATCTTTAATCTCACAAATTTTTATATTAAAAAAATCGAATATCTATTGCCATCAATTATTATACAAGCAATTTTGCGTATCATGCCGAATAGCTTGTGTTTGTATTGCTTTGTTTAAAAATAAAAAAAATTGAAAACTACAAAGTGTAGTGTATATCAGCTTAAAAAGCAGTGCAAATTAAAAAAACATTTCTCTGAGTTTTTCAGAAAATTTAAAAATTCAATTTAATATATAATTATAATTGAAAGTTAAGAAACTAACTTAAAATTATAAAAGGGCGTTTTTTTATCCCAATTTTTTCGTCAGATGAGAAAAGAGCACAATATACTCGTAGAATACAATTTTAAAGTGGATATGAGTATTTTTTGTCATGAAAAACTCGCTTTTTTCGGAAATGTAAATGAGTAATGATTATACGCAGAAGATCTTACAGTCACTTCGTTTTTAAAGGCTTATCAAATATTTGAGAACTTGATAAATTGAGAAAAAATGAAAATAGTTTAAAACCTAAGCTTAATTTAATCTTTTTTCTTAGTTTCATTAGTAGGTAGTTTGGAACAGTAGATTTAAAACTGTCCAACATCAATTATTAAATAATTTATAAAAGATTAATCAATAAATAATTTATAAAATTTTCAAAACTTGAAAAAAATAAACAGCGTCCATATATGAACATGTATTTTTGTTAAAAAAAAATGTATTTTCTGCAAAATAAATTTAAATGACATGAAGGAAAAAGTAAAAAAATTAGCAACGCGGATTCTTGCAATATACATATTGTATCTATATACTTCATGTACTTCATTTGTTGCACATCAAATTATAATTTTTATTTCGTTCTTTATTTTATGTATCATTTATCTTACTTAAATTTTAAAAATATTTTTTATTTCGATTATTAAAAAATAAAATCGCTGGTAAAATAAATATTTTCATTTTTGTTGTATAGCTCGTTGTGAAAAAATCTGAGCCCGAAATATTAAATGGCAGAGCAGCAATTTGTGCTGGAAGGGACGACATTTCTTCAGATGGTGAAGAATCCACAAATACGGAATTGGCATTACCCAAACACCGTTTCACAAAACCAAATAACCTTAAATCTTATTTAGAAAGCGGATCCATTCCTGATGCGGCTATGATTCATGCAGCTAGAAAAGAAAGACAAAAAGCTAGAGAACAAGGTACATTTTCTCAAAATCCATATTTTGTTATTATTTTTGTTAATATTCAAACGATTTATTGAAGTTATTAGCAAAATACATTTTTACTAATGTTACTAATTTTAGGCGACTATATTCCGTTAGAGGAAGCTAAGGAACCATCAAAAATAGGCAGCAGATTGGCTCATGATGAAGCTGAAGATGGTTCAGATGAAGAGGAAAGAGTGGATATGAATGCTATAACTGGTGTGAAGGAACGCGAAGAAAGACGCGAAAAATTCTATTCTGTTCAAAATGATTGTATGTATAAGTGTTAAGTAAATAATATAAGAGAACAAAATTTCATACAAAAAAATGAGGTAATGAATATACATATATTGCCTGCCTAGATTACGAGACTCATATGGTGTGTTTCAAAACATGGTGACATGAAGAAGATATTTGTATTTTCTTGAATCGAACTGCACCAAAAAGTATTTTTTTTTGGTGTTATAGACAGAACCTTACAATTTTAGGCAGTCGATACGAACGAAAAGATTTTTAACATTCTTTAATGCGTCAGTTTTTTGTACATTAAGTTTTAGAGTAACTGTATATGAGTTTAGTGAGGGATAGCATTATTGTCCTTTTGTATTTTGTACTAAACAAATAAGATAGTATATTTAATTATAATATGTACATACAAATTTAAATTAGAAATTTAAAATTAAAAAATAAAATATATAAGTATTTGGAATTACTAACAGCAAAATAAACATGGAATAATTTATTTCCTACTTTAAGATTCTGAAGGAGACTCTGATCACGAGTTGAATGAATGGGAAAATCAACAGATTCGAAAGGGGGTTACAGGAGCTCAACTTGTGTCAGCTGTAAATCAAGAAAATTTATTATTTCGGTTTTCTATTAAAAGTGGCAGTAATATTGAAGATGATCAACCGCAATCGACGGGAACTCTTTTAGAACAAGCTTATGCAAACAATATGTTTGAAAAACCAAGACAACTATTAATAAAAACTCAAAAAAATGAAAGTAAAGCATCTGGGCCGAGGACTCCTAAGGAAATAAATGATTGCTTTAAAAATAGGTAAGTGCAAAATCATTTTTTTAAATTTTTCACGTCTTCTTTAAAATTAATAAAGTTTCCATTGTGATTACATCGTCTTGTTTTATAATACGCTATAAAACAAAAATAAATCGCCAAATACATTGATGGTTGGTTATATATTTTTATTTTTTAGGTGAGTTTAGGTAACGTGGTTAGGTAACTCTCAGTTTTGCTGCTGAGTGATAAATTTAAGTTTCGCTCTGAATTTGGCAGGTTTCCCAGCGAGAAATGGAAAAATAAATTATCAAATATTTTCATTTTATCTTGAATAAATTTAGAACACCAAATTTAATAAATTAAGTTAGCCGTCGGCAAAGTGCGGTCCATTCAACTTCAAATGAGATCTATCATTCTGCTTACAACAAAATACATATATATACATATGTATAATTATGTATGTATGTACATACATATTTGTTTGCGACTATTAAAATTTTTTAAAAAAGTTTTAAGATGCACATATAAAATTTTATGCACCTACATAGTGTATAACTGCTGCAGATAATAGATATAGGTGCATAAAGTTCCATACAAATTTATTATTTGTCAAAACAAAACAATCAATAAAGTCAGTTAAAAATGTCATTTCTTCTTGCAAGTCGCCGGAAACCAGAAAAAAAACCCTTTTCATGTGGATAATCGATTTCTCTTAGCTAAATCTGCTCCTTTTAGAAATTTGTTCTTACAAGTACCAAACAACTGTCAGTTTTAAATATTTAAAAGCAAAAAAAATAACGTAAATGAGTAGGTTAATTAAGATTATAAAATTTGTTTCTTTATATGTATGTACATAGATTAAAGGAAATTAAAGAGTTGCACATAAAGCATAATGGTGAAGTAGATCAAATAGTACTACATTTAAGGGAAGCCAAAATAGAAGCAATTGATTACGCACAAAAGGCACCAACTTCTGCTGCTAAATACAGATTTTATCAAGAATTACGGTGTTATGTATCAGACTTAATCGAATGTTTAGACGAAAAGCTTCCTGAAATAAACGACATTGAGAAAAGAATTTTCAATTTGTGGTCTAAACGTGCAACATACTTGATTGAAAGGCGAAGGCAAGATGTTCGAGATCAAGCGAAAGAAGTTGCTGATGCCTCAAGTAAGCTATTGGCTTATTAGATTTCAGTTCTTAATTTAATTCTTATTTTAATGTTTTACTTTATAGAAGGTATTTCTCAAACATTAAAAAAAGGACCAGAGGAAGAGGAAAGACAACGACGAGCTGCTGAGCGCGAAGGTAGGAGAACTAGAAGAAGATGTGAAAGGGAGCGAAATGAGGTTTCATCAACACATTTAGACGGAATGTCGAGCGATGATGAAATGCACGACCAAGATATATCTCAATACCACACCAATTTAGGTATTATAAGCTTAGATATTTTATTTTACACACTAACAATTTTTTTATTTTTTAAGATCAACTTTCATTAGAAGCTGGGTTAATTTTCAACGATGTGAATGAAGATTTTTGTCAAATAGAAAATATTTTGTCAAAATTTGAAATATGGCGTCAGACTGATATTGAATCTTATAAAGATTCATTTGTTAGCTTATGTCTTCCGAAAGTGTGTAATTTTGTGTTCCCGTTGCTTCATTATTTATTTAAGTATTAATTAATATTTTCAACTCAGATTGTAGGTTCCATAATTCGCCTTAAATTAACTTGTTGGAATCCTTTAGATGAAAAAAGCCAAGAAATTGATAAAACAGATTGGTATATAACTTGCATGCAATTTGCTGCAACTAAAAATGAAAGTTTGGAAAGCTTGAAAAATGATCCAGATGTTAAATTTGTTCCAACACTCGTAGAAAAAATTGTTATTCCAAAGTTAACTGGTATTAATTTATTACTCTTATTTTTCACATCAATTATTTTGACGAAGCTTTTATATTTTCTTTTTTTCTTGACTATAGAGCTCGTTGCACATTGTTGGGATCCATTGTCAACTACACAAACCTTAAGATTAATAGGGCAAATAAGAAAATTAGGTCGCGAATACCCGTTACAGGAACAATCAAAGTTTTTGAAAACATTGTTCATAACTATTTTAGACAAGCTGAAGGATTGTTTAGAAAATGATGTTTTCATTCCAATTTTTCCAAAACAGTATTTAAATTTGAAAACTATTAAAAGTTTATATCAATGTAATTTATAATTTTTTTACAGAATGCAAGAAGCCAAAACATCATTTTTTCAAAGACAATTCTGCAGTGGATTAAAATTATTCAGAAATATTTTAAGTTGGCAAGGTATCATAGCAGACTACCAAATTCGGGAATTAGCAATAACGTTCTTGCTGAACAGATATTTATTATCAGCAATGAGGGTTAGTATTTATCTTTGAATATAAAAATTATAGCATAAAATTTAAATTAAATTATGGGGTAATATCGAAATATTTTCTTTTTTAGTTTTGCAATAATAATGATTCTGTATCGAAAGCATTAGTAATCGTTAACACTTTACCGACAGCATGGTTGCAACCTGATTCAGAAACCATTAGGAATTTAAACTTATTAATTGCGTTTATAAATTCAATCTACGAACAACTTGATAAAAAAAATCCTTTACATTTGTAAACATTAAAATTATGAGTTATTTTATTTTGTACTTACCTGTTTTTTTCTCATTTTAGGCAAACATACGAAAAGACAAAGCAGATCTTGCAAAAACTACACAGTTATTAGATTTAGATGTTTAATTACCGAATTTGTAAATAGTATATGCCCTTAATTAAGTTACATTAGTTGAATAATTTCTGAAAAATTTTAATAAAATCAATAAATTACTAAATCGTTTCTATTCTGAGATCATACACTTGTGTATATAATTCATTTTCTTTTCCCGTTAATTACTGTTCTATTCCCTATGTATTAAAAAAAAACAAACCTGCGATTTCTGAATTGCTGAATTGTGGCTGAATACATGGTTAAATATAGTCACAAGCTTTACACCTAACTAGTTTATCGATTTCAGTCTTAGATGAGTTTCAGAATTTGAATTCGTAAAACAAGATTGAGAAATTTAAAAAAAAAGTCCAATTACAAGTAGAGCATAATGTTATATTCACATTAATATTGCCAGTAGCATTTTTTTCAAAAAATATATTGTACTCTCCAAGTAAACCTGCGATTTCTGAATTGCTGAATTGTGGCTGAATACATGGTTAAATATAGTCACAAGCTTTACACCTCACTAGTTCATCGATTTCAGTCTTAGATGAGTTTCAGAATTTGAATTCGTAAAACAATATTGAGAAATTTAAAAAAAAAGTCCAATTACAAGTAGAGCATAATGTTATATTCACATTAATATTGCCAGTAGCATTTTTTTCAAAAAATATATTGTACTCTCCAAGTAAAAAAAAAATGATTCCATAATTGTTCATTGAAAATTCATAATTTATAAAAATAAAAAACGAATGAATGTAAATCGAAAAAAATGCATTGAACAGGGCATTTTAGGGGTAAACAAAAAGGTCGAAAAAAAACGTCAAAAACTGAGGCCGATTGTACATTGTTTCAAAAAACTTAAGCCGATATTAGTCTTACTTATCTTGCCACATGCTGTATCAAAATAACCACATCGACGGTACGTTATTAATATTTTTATATTTATTACGATAAAAACATGATGAATGAATGTAGTTTTTATAAATACTGTTTGTGGAAAAATAATGTAAATGACTCAATTCTCATCAAATTTACTGTCAGATTTTTTATAGAGAAAATAACGGCAATCAAATTTTTGTGGTAATTTTGAGCAGAGATCAACTGCAAAAAAATCCAAAAAAAAAATCATTAAAAATTAGATAACTAATTTTTGAAGTTATTAGACTTTGTCACAGACTTTATGTTAGATTTTTTCGTATATTATGTAAACCGCATTTCAAAAATAATGAAAGTGGTTTATATCGTTCCAAAATCGCACGCTTGAAATTGAAATCTGATTATCACACGGCAATTTTATTCGCATATATTTAAAATTTCCTTACTGCTTAATTATACGACATAAATTTAAAAGTTATTCGAGTTTAACGAAAGTTGTATTTGTGAACCTTGTTTGAATCAGATTTTGACTGACGGAAAATATATAAAAATAAAAGTTTCTATCAGATTTTTTGATAGTAAAATGACAATTTTTTGTGGTAAATAGCTTACAATCGCGATCAGCTGACTTTTATTATGATTATAATTCATAAAGTTTGAGCGCCATCAATAATTTCTGCCTGATATGCTATTACACATTATCGTAGATTAAATCACAGATTTGGTCGCATATGTAAACAGAAGAAATCAATTTTTTTTTGCAACCGTGCGCCGCATACCGCGTCCAATTTATGTTACCATTTAATAGACAAGTAGCAAGTTGGGTTTTTTTCATAAATAGTAAATTTAAAGGGGTTTATTAAAATAATTTCGTAAGCTTCTTAGTGTAAAAGTATGGTTTAATTCACAAACTTAAAAATTACGTACCCACAAAATCATGAGCTCGGATTGGTATAAATTATGATAAAAAATTTACACTTTCAAACTTTTAAAATTTGTATTTGTATATATTATAAACAGGGTGTGTTTGAATAGAGACTTTGTGTTTCAAAAACATTACTTGCAAAGCAATCCAACTTTAGAACATCCTTTAAAGCAAATTCAAGTGGCTGTGAGTATACTTTTGTACTTTACTTGTAAATTATAAAATCTTGTTTGCTCAAAACAAAAGTTTTTATACTTAGGTAATTGAAAGTAAAGGCACTAGAGGAAAATTCAGTAGTGGTTTATCCTCTTCAAGTAGCAGAACTTCTTCCACTATATCTTTAATTGATCCTCTGGGTTTAAATGCTCTTGACGGAATCGATCCACTTTCTCAGTTCGCACAGGAATCGGCAACTGATCCATTATCCCAGATTGTTGCGGAATATGTAGGATAAATGCTTTTCAAGGTATAAGATAATTTAATGAAACTTGACTTTTTAGGAAAAATTTTCAAAAAAATCAAAAAATAAAGATATGCTCGAAGCAAATAAAGAATATTTGTCATGGAACAATAAACGTTTAGGTATTTTAAACAAATTTACAACATCCGAGAAATTGTCGATAACAACAAGTTTTCTTTCCGGTGGAGAAATGAGTAAAAAGTTTATTATTCAAAATAAATAGTTTTAATATATAGTAATTAAATTTCAGTAAAAACACAAACAACAGTATCCGATAAAGTCAAATATCGACTAGAACAACTAGATGATTTTGATGAGTCCTCTGTTCGACATATGATGGATCTAACCCAGCAGGAGTATATAACTCGTATAGAACAGCTTAATCAAGAACTAGTTCAATCATGGAATGGGGACCAGCGAGTTAAAGCTTTGAAAATAGCCATTCAATGCTCTAAAATGTTATCAGATACTTCAGTTCTTCAATTTTATCCAAGCCAGTTTGTTTTGATTACAGATATTTTGGATATATTTGGAAAATTAGTTTATGAACGTTTAAGGACTAAAGCAGATCATGTTGAGTAAGTGATTTTTTGGTAAATAAACAATAATTTTATCGCGTCTTATAAATTTAGACCAGGTCGAAAAAGTGCAATCTCGTTACCCGAAAAATTTACTCCAGAAATGGTTCCTGATAGTGCAAAAGAAACTTGTCAGAATTGGTTTTTTAAAATTGCGTCAATCAGAGAGCTTCTTCCCAGGCTGTATGTTGAAATGGCAATTTTGAAATGTTACAGTTTTTTAACCCAAAGGTAGAAAAAAAATCAATGTTGTATGAGAATAAAACAGCTGTGAAATAGGTACTAATTTTGCAAAATGAAACTAGGTATAATGTGTGCACATACTTAATATTTGCTTTTTAAACTAATAGACATAAATCTTTAAATTACTTTAAGTATAAGTTTAAAAACTCAATAGTATTTTTTGTAAAGTATTATTGAAGCTAGAAAATGTTAGAAAATATTTAAATTTTCATTCACGTGTAAGTAAATATGCACATATGTATATTTAAATATTTTCTGCAAAGTTCCTATACTTTTTTGCTGGAAATATTTAAAAGGATATAGTTTATATGTAAGAGGTCCGGAATGAAAAGAGTTTTAACTATCAAATAGAATTCTGCTTTTACTAACAACCAAAACAATACTAACAAAGTAATAAAGTCGAAATATATTGAATTTATTCGAAGAAACAATGAGGATCAAGTAAAAAATTCTGTCCCAATGCTTTTATATTCTCATACAGATGTCGCCATTTATTTTTATAAAAACTATGTGTAATAATTGTAGCGAGTTCAACTCTGCACTGCTTCGTTTGACAAAAATGATAAGAGGAATTGGAGACCCTCTAATTGCTACGTATGCCCGATGTTATCTTGTAAGAGTTGGATTAAATGTTTCTAATGACAAGGAATATATTAAAGAAAATTTGCAAGACTTTCTAGCAGTTTATGGCACTGTACAGTTTTTCATTAATTTTAAGCTAAAATATAAAAACAAGTTTATTCCAGATATTCAACGGATCAATTAGATCGGAAATTAATAGACAACGAATAGATATATCCAGTTATTTAGCACTTTATGGACCAGCATTGAACTGGATATTGCAAGGATTTGCATATTGCTCGACAGACGCCAATGCTGACGAAATATTAAATACATGCAAAGATAAAAAAAATAAGTAAATTAGCAAATGTTTCATAAATTTTAATTCTAAAATTCTTTTTTTAATGCAAGTGGCCCACTATTATATGCAATACTATCATCTTTTAAACCAGAGTTCATTGCAAACCGAGCTTTAGATTTAGTAAAAATTTTATCAAATTGCAACACTGAAGGAATTTCGAAGGGGCAACTTCTTAGGAATCTTGGTGTAAGTTTGAATCGTTGTCCACCGCCTCAAGAACAACGACATGTTGTATACATAGCAGCATTAAATATGATTAGTACGTTTACTAATCCAGCAGAGTATGTATCGTGTATTGAAATGTGGGCTCAATATGTTGCAGAGCATTTTACTGTAAGTTATATTATGTATTATATATATATTTCACTTTATTTTAATAAAATTAATTTTTTAGTTACAAGAGGTAAATACTCTACTTGAGGATATTCATGTTAGGCTAAGTCAAAACAAAATTTATGAAAACTATTACGGGCAGTTGCAATCTATAATGGACAAGATTGTAAGGTATTCTACGGATTTTGAAGGATTACTAACGTGTGTCAGTATTATTAAATTTTAATGTAAACATAATTACATTACCTTTTACATGTAGGATAGCTTTTTACTGGTACTAGATCTTTTCCAAAAAGATTCTATTAAATTGGAAGTTTGCAAAAATATAATAGTCACCTACAAAAACAATTTTGAAGGAACCACTTCTGATCCTGTAGTAACTAATGCACTAATGTATTTGTGTAAAGTTTTGAATGATTCAGTAAAGTAAGATATTGCTTTTGCGATATTTGATATTTGTATTAAGATAATTTATAGAAAACATTTTTTAGTGCTTTAACTGTGGACGACGAGCGTAGACTCATAGGTAATCTGATCAGCAACTTCATTAAAAAGGTTGACTATGGAAAGGATTTCGAACAACAATTAACTTTTTACGTTGAGGCAAGGGCCGCATTCCCAAATTTAGATGCAGTATTTACTACATTAGTACTGTGTGTTAATAAACTTGCTATTGAAACTAGTAAAATTGTAAATGGTCATCACACTCGCAAAACAGCTGCCTTTGTGAAAGCTTGCGCAGCTTACTGTTTCATCACAATTCCAAGTATTATATCAGTAGCTACACAAATGGATTTATACTTACTAAGTGGACAAGTTGCTCTAATGAATTTGTGTTTGGGGCAAGGTATAAATTTATTTAAATTTCTTAATCTGTAAATATAATCATAACAAAAATTTCATAACTAGCTGACGCCTGCTTTGAGACTGCTTTAAATTTGGTTGCTGAGCTACCACGAACAACTGAAATAGAAGGCAAGCTAAAGAGTACTGAAAGTTATTTGGTGTCGTATTTGTGTAACATGCTTTCAACTTTGGTAGTTGTTCCAGTAAGTTATATCTTACCACAAAAATTTTTAAAAACTTAAGTATGAAGAGTGTTCGGGAATTGATGTTGTCCTAGAAGCGAAACGATACGCAGGATCCAGATAAATTATTTTTCTTGAGAACGATTTTGGGCTCACGCTCAATAACTCAGGAGCAATATTAATATTCCTTTTTTTTGGTTTGTCTAGGTCAGTCATACTACTTTGCTTCGGACATCATTAATTCTCGTACGCCGTGTAGGTATATATGTGTCTAAATTTGCAAAATTTAGGATAGTCCAGATCAAGAAGTGCTTTATCTTGTAAGGCTTCTATTAGACGTTTTAAAAAAATACCCTTTTGATTTACATAGTTCTGGACCAACGTTAGTTTACTTGCATTCTCTTGATATGTTATTCGTCGAAAGTTTGGATATATTCCCTTATCACATTCCAAATGGTAACTATAATTTAAAACTAAGCAAAAACTGTTAGCACATAATATGTATATGTATGGTAAGTTTGATTTAATATGATTCTATATAACTTTAAGTTGTTTCGAATGATGAGTTATATGGATCTGATCCAAAGTTTATTGCTGAAGTTAATATATTATGCTCACAAATTGTTGATCAAATATTAGTTCAACTTAAGTCAATGGGGGATGCAAATCAGCTACGTCAGCAAGCTAATTTAGCTTTGGAGCTTTTTTCCAGGGTATTAAGATATTCTGATCTTATGAGAGATAAAACATTTATGCTAGCAATTAATTTGTGGAATTTGGCATTGAAATACGAGCAAGCTGACTCTAAAACTTTGGTAACTTTTTCTTTTGTTTGCATAGTATTTAACTTTTAATAACGATTGATAAATATTAGGCAAAACTTCTGAAAATGACTGAAGACTACAAAACGAAATTTTATGGTAACCCGCTGTATATGAGGCGAATTGAGGAGCTGATATCTCGTATGAAATTGAAATTATAAATGAAACTTAATCAAAATAAAATACGTATAGGTATATGTATGTAAATGAATAAAAAAATTTCTATTATTTACTTTACATTTACTAACTTACATTGTTGGTGTCTACTAAAAGGCAAATTTATTGTGAGTTTGACTTAATCGGTAATGCAATTTAAATTTCTAAATATGTATTGAAGTTTTATTACACTTGAAAAAATACCTAGTCTGTTAAATGTTGAGAGTTCAGTTCTGATTCAGGTATTAAGTTAAGTTAAATCTATAAAATTCTTACGATTTTTTATAAGGGTTCAAAAATATTTGAAAATAAAAATCAAAGTAATGAGAACGATATTGCAATCGTGTAACTTTAGAGAATCGAAGCAGGGTAGAATTTTTGTTTAAAAGCCAAAGCACATTGATTTTTAGTATATCTTAAGAAAGTAAGGCTTTCCAATTTTTTTAATTTGCTCTTATTTTTTTACTACTTTCACATAAAATACAAAAAAACATAAGTATGTATGAGTTTACAAATATAAGTATATATTGCATATTAATCATCAAATGAAGCAATTTAAAAGAGTAATTTAATTAATAAAACTAAAAAACCATTCATAAATCTTTTAACTAAAAAACCTACGTAATTACTTAAATGTCTTAAGATTTTCATTTGTTTTTTGATATTTGTAAGAATGCTTAACGATTTTTTCAAGATAACTATCGCAGTGGTACTATTGTACACCATCTAAATTTTAATTTTTGAATTTCTTTTTCTGTGTCGGAAACAAATTATATACACATAAAAAATTGGTTTCAAAGGAAGTAATTCATTACTACGATTTCTTATTGCACAAAGAAAAGTTAATTAAATAGGTACATAAGAATTAAAAACTTATTTTTGAAAGATAAACTACATAACACTTTTATATACATTATTTCTAATAAAACCAATGAAATTGGTATTTATTTACATGAATTCAACAAGAAATTTTAATATTATTATAATACTCAGAAATTTTCTGCAAAAATGAACAATGTTTAGTTTTATACGAGAAATTTGCCATATTATTTATGTATATTTATATATGCACATTATTTTAATATTATTATAGTTTAGAACACTCAATTATATTATTTATGCGCGAATTTGTTTTTTTTTACTTAATCTTTACGATAATTTCTATGGATTTCTGGAACGATGTTATATACATATTGAAGGATTTCATTTATTACGGGCTCTTTGCGTTGTTCAATCGCCTGATTCATTTCAGCTAATTTAAGTTTTGTGTCAGCATCAATTTTTGCTGCAACTCCTTCCCTGGATCCCATGTGCTAAAAAATTTACATTTGAAAAATGGAAGATTAGAATGATCATTTACATCACATGATTAGCAAAAATAATTGTATAAAACATCTTAAATAAATGAATTATACAAATAAATTTAAAAACGAGTCTAGTGAATTTAAAAAACAAAAACTTTAAAAGAATAGAGATCAAATTTTTAAATACCTTTGCCTCAAATTCCTTGAATTGCCTTTCCCTTTCTTGGCGATATTTTTCTATTTCTTCAGTAGCTTCATCTTTGGCTTGCTTTAGACGCCTTGCTTTCCCTAAAAGTTAACAAATAGGTATTAGAAATTTTTATGGACGATCATGTGACCTAATAATTTTCATTTTAAAATGTATCCGTGATTTACTTTTTCTAGCTTCCGCAACTTTCTCAGCAGCCTTTTTTTCTGCTGCTAAAAGCTGCTGGATTCCTTGAGTTTGACTAGTCATTATTTAACAATATTTTTTTATTTCCAAATGTTTTTTTTAGATTAAAAATTAGTTATTTTATACTACAAACCACTTGCTACCTGCCTTGTCAAAGGAATAAATCGATAAAGGTTGTCATATGATAGGAAAAAAAATCATTAGGGTTGTACAATATTTCGACATTCGAAATGTCATTATAACTTCAGCTATTACATAATAGAGGCGTGGTAGCTTAGTGTCACAAAATCCATCTTCAGCTTTTCTACAAAAACTAAACAGGTGTTCAATTCTAATACTTGTTTTATCAGATAACATCAATAAAGAAAATTCGAATTTATTTTTCTGAAATTAAACAAGAAGAGTCGGAAATTTGTTTAACAGTATTCAATGAAGTTTTGTTCGAAAAAAAGAAAAAAATGTTTCTTTTTATTGAAAACGTTTCTTATTATTGAAAATTGAAAGTTTTTATTTATTAATTTCTGAATTTGATTAGATTCAACCTTGTCAAAACAGATCAGATGAAAAAAATTGTATGTAATTTTAAGAACGAGCATGATGAAACATAATCTATCATTTAATTTTTTCGTCAAATTTCAAGGTGTCAAAATAGTATATGGGCTTTGTATGAAATTTGAAAATTTTTTTGATCACGTAGAGCGCATTCTAAGAAAAAGGAGAAGGGATCTACTTTTTGACAGACCTAAGTGTGCTATGGTGTAAAAGACGAAAATGCTCACAACTCGTAGATTTATTTTCTTTTGTAAAGTTTTCTATTCATCAGTATCTGTAATAATTTAAATAAGTACATTATTACGTCGTTGCAACAATTATGTATTGGAGAAGGGGGGAATTCGTATGTATGAACAAAATTGAAAAATAAATTGTTGCAGCAATTGATCAAGTTCGTATACCGTGGTTTCCAGTTGCAATAGGTAAATAAAAGATCTAGGTCAATCGAGTTTTATTGTGCTGCCATTGAAATAAAATAAGGAAAATAAATGTAACGTTAACCTACTTTCTTCTTTTGCAGAAAAATATAAAATTTCTCTCAGATTTCTGCTCAGTTTTATACAGGAAAACGAAAATTTATGTTTTGTTTCTATTTGTTTTGCTGGAATTGTCTTATATTTCATTCTTAAAATATTTAGTTCGGGTCTTACAGAAACTCGCGCTCATGTTTTTCTATACGTATTTACGTATGCATATAAATGTGCACACAATTAATTATGTAAATTTAAGAGATTTTCCTTTTTTGTTTTGTTTTTTTCTGGTGGGGAATAATATTTATGGATTTTCTCCTTATAGAAGAGGAATTCGCTATTGTAAAAATGTTGCTGAATTTTTTTACAAAATAAGTATTAACTAAAAAATTCTCCTATGAAATATACGTTTGTGTGCCTACATACACACATATACTTATATACAAACATTTATAGTGTATGAAATACTGAAATATTACAAAAATTTGTACATTGAATACGAACTAAAAGTATAGAAAAAGAAAATTTTTTTTTCAAATAACGCCGAGGGAGATAGCTGTGTTATATTTCGAGCAACATATAATATTTCGACTTAAATGTGTATGATCAAAATAAGTATGTAAGTATATGCGTTGTTTTCAATAAAAGAAATCTAATGGGTGATCAACGTATAACTGACCGCGATGTGTACTGTTTAGTTTGGCCAAAGTGTCGCACGGGATTGTAAAAGTGTCTCTTATACACTTATTTCAAATTCTAAGAAAATAACTTACATTTTACATAATATGCATAGAAAATTGTAGGTCCATTGCTGCCGCCAGATTTCGTTAACCTAAACTAGGTCGCTCGTCATTTTGTCGTTCAAAATTTTTTTTAAAAATTCTTTCGAAATAAAGATGTATTGGTTGAGACCAAACATAACTCAAAAAAAAAAAAGAAACATATGAAGATAAAGGGAGAGATAGGAGAAAATAGAATTATTTTTAAAACAAAACTATTTTTAATTTATTTTAAAAACCTTTCTATGTTTGTATATTGTTTTAGAAAATAAAACCAAAATAATTCCAGTTCAACCAATTAGTTCGTAGCGAAATTAGCCTGTTTTCTTTTTTTTAACATTTTTCCAACAAAATAATTAATTTGTTTTATTAAATTTTACTTTATAAAATTAAAATTAAAACACAAATTTGTAGTAAACTGCTGTTATGTTACATAATGTTCATCTCTGAATGATTCTTCTGAAAAGTATGAGATTGCCTCCATAAATGTACATGTGTACTTATAACACAATACATAAAAATTTTTACTTGACATCAACTTTTTTACTTTACATTGTTAAATAATTATGTAATTTGGGATATGCTTGGTTCATTTTTGGATGAATGAAACATCAAGAATCCTAAAAGGGTAACGAAATTGTTATTTTAAAGATAATAGCAACTAGCAAATTTATCTTCTCAAGTCTCGACTTTTTTCAAATTCGTTTTCTTCATTCAGATGTATTCGACAAGTTTTTATGAAATTGTTTGATAAGTTCGATTAACTGCCATATACAATCATGAAAAATCATTTTAAATATTTTAAAAACAAGTTTTAAAAATCAGATTGTCAAAGTGCGGAGTATAATAAGATAGTTAATTTACAGTTTATTTAGATCGATTAAAGCGTTTTTAGTTGTTTTTTTTTAATTTTGTTTTTTTGTTATTCAGTGTTGATATCAACTTAACTATCTTCGATAAGAACTTGTGATTGTTTTCTTTTATATTTTAATTCATATTTTTCATTGAGTTTTCTATTCAAAATTTGTTGTCTATAATCTTAAACCATTGTCCTTTCTTTCTCTCAATATTATATATTAGGTATATTTTTTATTGCATTAACAATAATAAAGTTAAAATTAAGAATAATAAAAAGTTTTCTTTTTTTAAGATAAAAAAAACAAAAAGAAAAATTTTTTGGAACAACGGGACAAAAGAATTAATATGAAGGGCACACGGCTAGAAAGAAATGATTTGTGTGTTTGTTGTTCAGCACTTTGTTTGTTTTTATTTTGAGAAATTTTTCTTTAGTTGACTTTTCAACCGGAAAAGTCATTAATCAATAAAAAACAAAAAGTAAAAGTTTTTCTTCTTCTCCCATATAGGCTTACTTATTAGGTTATTCTTTCCTTTTATATAAGGATGTTCTACTTGTTAAGTTTCGAATTTTTATACTTTAAATTTTAAAGGGTATATACAACAAAATATAAGAAGTGAAAAATTCAAATGGTGAATGAACTTTCTGGTTGGTTTTTATAATTTTTTAACTTTAATTTTTTTTTGCTCCTTATGGGACATATGTAAATATTGTTATTAATTATTAAGTGTCACTTTATAACTAAGGAAGTTCTGTATTAGGAGTAGAGAAGGAGCGGGGTCTGTGTATTTTATTTTTTTGTAAAAACAAATTTTAATTGTATAGAATTACGTAAGTCTTAAAAAAATTTATAACACAAAATGTTATATGTAGATGTAAAAGATGCAATTAAATGGACATTGTAAGTGTATAAAAAAGAGTAACAGACAAGTTTTGAAGGGGTTGACACAATTTTTAATAATATTCAAAAAAAAGTAAATGGAAGAGACAATTATGAAGTTATTAATGAAATTTCAAATTTGATTGACAAATGAGTTTTTTGATTTGAGTTTAAAACATGTTTAAATTGTTTTATAAAAGAACTTTAACAAAGAAATCAAGTTCTTGTCTTGTTATTTTTCTAGATTTTCTATAGTGATTTATTTAATTATCATGCGTTTATTAGAGTTAATTAAGACACTGTTAAAGAATAATGATTTGATCATTTTTGAAATTATCAGTTGAAGTTAAATATTTTATGAAAAGCTTTTTAAATAAAAATTTTATTTTATTTAAAATATAAAGTTGTGCTGGAATATTATTCTTGGGAATTAATTTATTTTTATTTGTTTTTTAAATTCGTATTTAATTAAAAAAGTTTAAAATTACCGCAATAAATCAAGATCTAATTAAAATTATTTATTTATTTATTTCATGTTTAACTCAAACATTTTACAAAATAATGCATACATTAAGTTAAAATTTTTTTTTTCTTTTTTTACAATGAAAACTTAAAATAAAATCTACAATTATACATATCACAAATTATAATAATACATATTTTTAATTATTTTTAATAATTACATATACATTACTAATAATTACTTATCATTAAGAAATTAAAGCAAAGTTAAGTAATAGAAAAGAAATAAAAAACGCGTATTCTAGTTGTCAAGTCTATAAAGGCGTTTCTTTAAAGTGTCTTTCGTTATTGTGAAATTTAAATTCTTTTTATATTTATTCCCAAGCCGCAGCATTCTGTTTACTGCCTTACCCGCAATATAATTGTAATGGTCCAAAAACGACAATTTAGAGTCGAAGTAAACTTGCAAGTCCTTAATAGTAAAAACCCTTCTCAGACCATCACCATTGAAAGAATAATTTGTCATAAAAGGGCGCCTGCGACTTGAGTAACTTATTACGGCACATTTGCTTATGTTTAACTTTAAATTGTTGAAAGAGCACAATTCATAGAAGTTATTTAAGTCATTCTGAAGTGCTTGGGAATCAGCTAATGAAGAAATCCTTTTAAAAATTTTCATATCATCAGCATAAATAAGGACCTCACATCGCTCCCAACTCCTGAATGGCCCCAAATGGCTGCCTTGACGCACACTCGAACTTGCCACAAATAGAGATAAACGGAAAGTTACTCTATAAGATCTCCCCACTAAGTACGATTTTATCCAATTTATAAAATTGCCAGGAAAACCGAGAAGTCTTAACTTTAAAATAATTACTTCGTGAGGAAGAATATCAAAAGCCTTGTTGAAATCAGTGTAAATAACGTCAGTCTGAAATCCATGTAATTAGTAAAAATTGCAGTTGTCTCTATCAGATTAGTAACCGTGGACTTCCTTTTTAGGAAACCGTGTTGATTCTTTACAATAAAAGGCATGCAATGGTCGTTAACGGAATCATATAGCATATCAATTTGACAATTTTGGGATTAGCAGACAGTCCATAGTTTTTTACCTCGGCCCTAGACTCCCTTTTATATTATTACTCGCTTCCAACGCGATGGACAAACT